ATATATATATATATATATATATGATATGTGGTTGGTATTTGATGAAAGCTCTCTTAAAGTTACTTTGAGGAACATTTACTTGGTTATAAAACAGTCTCAGTGTAGTCCTGATCCTCTATATGAACCAGTCTCAGTGTAGTCCTGGTCCTCTATCAGACCTCCATCAGTACAGAGACCATCAGAGAGAAGATGGTCTGTTTCTATAGAGTTATTCTTAATGCTCGTCATCGGAGCCACCGGGTCGGATTCTGATGAAACCAGATGAAATCATGCAGGTTCACCAGAACCTCCTTCAGCTCAGACTCCAGCAGAGACCGGTCCACCGTGGACAGACCCAGATCCTCCAGCAGAGACCGGTCCACCGTGGACTGACCCAGATCCGGCTTCACCTGCAGCCTTGGACCTGCAGTCGGAGCTCCAAAGGGAGGAGGAGAGCTCAGCTCCCAGCAGCAGCAGCGTCTCCTCCTCCTCCTCCTCCTCCTCCTCCTCCAGGAGCAGAGCTTCTCCTCTCTGGGAGTGAACACCGATACCACGCTGCTGGAGACCCAGGACGTATTGCTGGACCCGCTGGAGGGACGGGAGGCACGGGAGAACCAGAACCAGGACTGAGAGGAGCAGACTGTCAGACCTGCTGCAGTAGACTGAGAGGTTTTCTAAAGAGAGTCTGGTGCTCAGAGACACTACCACGTTAGTCCACAGGGGGCGCCAGAATCAACACTAAGTTAAAGTTCCTTGTAGTATCTTTAGGATCTTTAAAAATTGAGAGCTATTGTAAGAGCAGCTATTTTGCAGCCCGAAATCTTGGAGTTGTTCTCATGAAGTGAGACTTTTATTTGTTTTGACAAGCAGCTTATATCCAGAAATCCCAATTCAGATGTTCTCTCCATTATTGAACATGTCATTTTGCTTCAACAGGTGTTCTACAAGGAGGACCTGAACTGGATGAAGGGGATGGGTTGCTTTGTCTGGGACACGCCAGAGATCGTCCGCGCCAAGAAGGCCTACGAGCTGCAGAGCGAAGTGAGTAACAGCGTGGAAGAGCCGTCAGAAACGTTATTCATGTTCATATGATTAACTTTAATTCTATATTTACCCGTGTCACGTTTTCCCTTTCAGCTTCAATACAGACATGAGGCCAAGAAAGAATTCAACAATTACTCCATCGTGACGGACACCCCGGCCTACGTGACTGCTGTCCTGGGTAACACCTGGGCCAGTGATGTGAGTGAGCTGCACTTTTAAAAACACAAATATAACGTTTGAGTTTGAAGTGCCTGATTGAGTGCGTTAATTCAACACTTTGTCATCGACAGCTCAACTACAGGGAGACTTATCATAAGCGGAAGCACTTGTACACCACCATTCTGGATACGCACGACTACGCCAGATGCCACAACTTGAAGCACCTCTTCAGCAAAGTAAGATAAGGTCACGGTTAAAGCTTTGTAAACGGCGTCGGCACGTGCAATGACGTAATGTGTTTTGGGGTCTTCTGTCAACAGAAAGAGTACAGCGCCACCTGGGACAAAATCAAAGACAAGAGCTACCAGATTCCACCCGACTCACACGCCCTGCAGCATGCCAAGCAGCAGAAGATCATTCTGAGCGGCGTGAGTTTAACTTCTATTCATTCCACCTCATACTTAACACTGCGCTTGGATGTTTAAGTCACACAATATGAAACCCCGTGGCCCCTTTTTTTCTTTTTTTTTAGGTGAAGTACAAGGAGGAGTACGAGAAGTTCAAATCCCTCTACAGTCTGCCCAAGTCTCTGGAGGACGATCCCGGCACCGCTCGCTGCATCAAAGCTGGAAAGCTGGTCCTGGACGTAAGTAGAATCTGTCGAGCCCTTTCATCTGCATTTTCTTCTAACGAGGAGGGATACAGGCGAATAAAGCCGGGGTTGTCCGTCTTTACAGCGTCTCTACAGGGAGAACTACGAGAAGTGCAAGGCCAAGAACCATATCCCACCAGACATGCTGGCGATCCTGTCTGCCCGCAAAACCCAGTCCAGCGTCAGCGAGATCAACTACCGCAAGCACCTGCATCAGTGGATTTGCCTCCCTGACATGCAGGTGTACACCCAGGCACGCAAAGTCAACGAGCAGCTCAGCGACGTGAGTAACTACTCTCCATCCTCTCTGCTTCTCATGCATCAGTAGCTGCAGGTTGGTCAGAGGGACAGCCATATTCTTGCATATAGTTTATGATGCTATACCTTCTTATTTAACTTGCATTTTATAGCACTGTTTAAGCATCTTATACAATGCAAGATATTGTTATAACATGGCAACTTTATCGTTATTAGTTGACCAGCCGTCTTCTTATTTGCTATATTAAAAAATACATTAAAAATTCTGTGCTTTTTGCTGGTATTTAAATTAGTTCATATGCAGACATTTGGCGCAAAATTGACCCTTTTCTATTCAAATAAGCCTCATTGCAAAAAAACTGTCCAATTCACAAAGATCAGCGCTGATAGCAACATGCATTTAAGCTTTGTTTACACACTAGCATGCATAAAGGCGTTGTTGCTCAACACGTGTTCGTTGCATTATTCTCCAAAATATTTCATGACCAGATAAACACATTTATTCCTTCAGCTGCAAAACTTTATGGGCAAGTTTGTGCTATTTGGGAATCTGATTGCTACTGCAAACTATTCTTTGTGAATTCTCTCCTGAGTGTTGTGTTTAATGAATAAAACATAACGTAAAAATCAAAAGTAGCAGCCCTTCATGTTTCAGCTAGTTTCCGTACTTTTTGACTGGTTTGCAATACAAACACACAAAGTAAGGTACGGTGTGTGTTCTCTCGTGTTCTCTCCACAGATCTTCTACAAGGACGACCTGAACTGGCTGAAGGGAATCGGCTGCTACGCCTGGGACACGCCGGAGATCCTCCGCGTCAAGCATGCCGGTGATCTCCAGAGCGAGGTCAGCACTCAGGACACATTCACTCCACCTCACATCCTCCCTCAGTGATTCTGTCTGTTCATCTTTCCACTGGTTTCTGTCCTCCTCTTGCCTTCCTCAATGAATCCTCCGTAGACTTTTTAAACATCTCGTGTTTAATGTGTTTTTGTTCCAGAACAAGTACAGAGCCAAAGGTATCGAGTCCTTCAAGGAGTACTCGGTGGTGACGGACACTCCAGTGTACAAGACGTCCAAGCAGAACTCTCAGAACCTGAGCGAGGTAAGTGAAATCTTTACTTACTCCAAAAATATCTAAATATCAAAAAGAAAATCATGGCCGTACATCTCATCGTTTTGTTCTTCTGTTTCTTTTTTCCAGCTGCACTACCACTACGATTACAACGCCAACATCAAGGGAACCAACACGGCTCCGGCTGTGACCGTCGACACGGAGAGGGCTCGCATGGCCAACTACATCCAGAGTGATGTAAGAACAACACTCCCTAATGTTCAGCCTTCAGAAATAACGACAATAACTTCATACATATAGCACCGTTCACAACAGGCCTCATCTATGAATTAAACAGATTTAATGTTATATCTCATGTGGCTAAAAGACGTACTGCAGATGAAAATGTTAAATTAGAGACGATGGAAAAACCCAAATAAACCCCCTGTGGGTCCTGGACCAGTCCTGAATCTAGGGGTCCTATAGGCACTGAAGCAACCTTTCAATGGGTTGTTTTTCAAACACCCTCTGACTCTCTAACGTCCCGTCTCACCTTGTTGTCTTGTCTTCTCTCAGAACTGGTACAAGGAGGCCAACAAGAACCAGATGCCCACCGGTTACTCGCTCCCCCACGACACCCCTCTCATCAAGCAGGCTAAGATGAACAGCGTCGTCACCAGCTGTGTAAGTACAACCATCCACAGAACTTGTTTGCTAATGGAGTTTCTTTCTTTTTTTATCTTACTGAATCATATTTTGCTTTATTTGTGCAGGTGAAGTACAAGGAAGCCTACGAGATGATGAAAGCGAAGGCCTACACTCTTCACCCAGAGGGCGTGAACTTCGTCAACTCAAGGAAGGCCAACAAGATCACCAACAACGTAAGATGAGACACAGCTTCTCTTCCACTGGATAAAACTAGTGAGGTAACAGATCGTAGTGGATCCGTGCTGATCCCCTCTCGCTTCATCACACAGTGAACCTCAGATCAATCACACAGTTCATCGTTAACCATCACAGTGTAAATAAAGGTTCACTGACGATCGTTCTCCAATATTCAGTAAAATATGTGATCAGGACTTCATGGAGGTTTTCACATGAATATAAAATAGATATTAGAGATGAATTATGAGCTGTTTAACTTCATAACACGAGCTCTAAGAACATTATAATACATCATTCAAAAATAACAATGACTAGATTCATTTTAATGAATAAAAATACAATTTGAATGTTGTGTTTTTATGAAGAAAAAAAAACACTATAAATGACTATAACAAAGTAAAAGTACAACATTCAGTATTTTGACTGTTTACTGACTTCAGAGCGTTGAAATGATTTTTGGGACGGTGGTTAAAATATCAATATGCTGGATCCTTGTAGACCAGCTGCTGTAATCAAACAACAAAGAGATCTGAATCTGCAGATATGGATAAACAATGATCATCATTTAGTATCAGCGGCAAAAACACTTGATCAGAGATCTAAAAGTAATATTTAATCCTTTTTTCTTTTGTGCTAACCGTAACCGAACCGTGACTTTCATGATCCGCTGCACCGCTAGATATAAAACACTCTCATGTGCTGCCTTCTGTCCTCCACAGCGTCTGTATCGGGAGGAATACCACAAGCACAAGGACAAGATCCACACGACCTACGACACTCCGGATATCAGACAAGTCAAGATGAACCAGAAGCACATCAGCGACGTAGGGAACCGCTTCCACACAACTCACGTCATCTGTGCACCTGATGAGTGGTATCTTCTCATCATTCTGCCTTTTTGTTCCCGTCTCATTTCCAGTTGTGCTACAGAGAGAAATACTACAACACCAGAGGCCAGCTGATCAATTTGCCCATCACGCCCCAGCTGATGCACTGCTACCACGTCAACCAGATCACCAGCGAGGTGTGACGACAAGACGCACGACACATGGAGGTAACTCTAAAACTTTAGTATGAAACTGTCGGTTGAAATCTTTGTTGTTTGTTTTGTTGTAGCTGAAATACAAAGAGGATCTGTCGTGGCTGAGAGGACTCGGCTGCTTCTTGTACGACACCCCAGAGATGATCCACATCCGCAACATCACCAAGCAAAGGGTGCGTGTTTCAGTATTCATTTAATATTCAAGAGAAGATGATCCTTCATTAGTGCCACAGCGCAGATCTAAAGTATTACAGCAGCAAAGAGGATAGTGCAACAACAGGAGGCATCAGCAGAGACGTAATAAATAAGTAGAATATTGTCAAAGTGAATGTTTGAGTTCACTTCATTGCACATATGAAATCCTGTGTTTTATAGGTGACCTACCCGGTGGAGGCCAAGAAGAACCTCGCCAACTTCTCCGTGGTCCTCAACACGCCAGAGTACAAACGAGTGACTGAGCTGAAGACCCACATGAGCAGCGTGAGTCGTTTATCGCTTTATAGTCAGACTTCAGTCCTGGTTGATTTATCGTCTTATTGGTGGAAACAGCAAAATGTGGTTTAATTCACTCAGGTCCCAGATTTACTGGGCTGTTGTTTTATTTGTACATGTTTAATATCTTTTTAGTCTGATGATTTTGTTTTATCTTATTTATTATCAGTCAATGGTTTAAAATTGGGAGCAATTCAATTTGAGTGGAACCCAAAGTAATCAGTAACTGTTTATGAATTCTTTATGAGCTGGAGGAGTCAGCATCCATCCAGAGATGCACCTTATGGTTCTCTCTTTAGATCAGTTTTGTCAGAAATCCAACATGGCGACACATCTGAGACTTGTTTTTCTGCTCCTCTATTTGCAGATGATCTACAAAGCCCAGAGCAAGCAGGACATGGCGAAGGTCTCCACCACTTTGGACTCTGTGGACATCTTGAGAGCCAAATGGGCCCAGCAGCTGACGAACAACGCAAGTTCTAAACCCACCTTCCCTCACTGGGTGTATGGATGTGTTTTTCTTTCGCTGATGGTCTAATGAGTATCTGTTTCTCTACAGTTCCAGTACACCAATGTGGCCAGTAAGGAGAGATCTCACTTCACTCAAGAGAGTGAAACTCCAAACATGGGCCACGCCAGAAGAATGAAAGTCATCTGCAGTGATGTGAGTCTTTTCCTCGTTTCTTCCCATCGTACCTTCATCGCCTGTAGAATCAAAGTATACGTTAACAATGTCAGTGATGATGTAACAAGTACGATTGAACTCTCCTCTCTTTGCTTCCCGTAGAACAAATACAAAGACCAGTATGAGAAGATGAAGCACAGGTACACCACCATCGCTGACACGCCTCTCCTGATCCGGGCCAAGAAAGCCTACCTCCAGTCCAGTGATGTGAGTTCCTCACATTCAGAGCACTTCATGATGAATACACCTTCCCTTTAGCAGTGAACATGTGTGTGAGTGTGAGGATTTCAAATGACACTATGGGAATTGTTAAATGATCTGATTTCATTTATTTATTTTGAATGTTATTTTATTGTATTTTATGTTTGATTGTATTAGTTTTTCCGAGTGTGCGTCTTTTGACTTTATGTTTGTTGATATGCAACAAAAGAAAAGTTTTATCATCTCAGTAGGATTTCACATACAAGGCATTTGCTTTGGTGTACCGGTGCATAACATAAACATAAGAAGAACAAATCTAACAACAGACGTATAGAACAGAAGAGAAATATAAATATAAATACCATCAAAGTGTTTACAATATGTCTGAATTCAAACTGCTTGTGGATGATGTGTTTGTGTGTTTGTGTTTGATCTGCAGCTGCGTTACAAAGAGACCTTTGAGCTCGCTAAGGGCCACTGCCACGCGGTGAAGGACGCTCTGAACCTCTCCTACCACCGCAGGGTCACCGATGACATCAGCGAGGTCAGCAGTGGACACCAGCTGATCCATTGTTATATTCATTCATTCATCTTATATTTAGACCACGTTAGGGAGACATTTAAGATCATTTTCCAGCTTTCTTACTGTTTCTGTTGTTCCTCTTCCTCAGGTGAAATACAGAGAGAAGTACATAAACACTCTGGGAACGTGGAAGTCCATCCCCGACCGTCCTGAGTTCTTCATCAGCAGAGTTGCCAACGAGAACGCCAGCACCGTGAGTTATGAGCCCAGTGTTGAAATATTCACTCCCACAGCAGATACCAAAGAGGGTCATTGATATTTGAATAAAAACCCTGTTTTATTATGTTCCCCTGTAGGTGAAGTACAAGGAGGACCTGGAGTGGCTGAAGGGTATCGGCTGCTACGTGTGGGACACGCCTGAGCTGGTCCGGGCTGAGAGGAACAAGATGCTGTACAGCGGGGTGAGGGATCTATTGGAGAAGCCACTTTGAGCACTGGATACAAATACGCTTCTTCACTGTGCTAGATGAAGGGGCCTTTAACGGAGCCGTGTATTCCTCTGCGTGTTCCTAACGAGCGCTTCGCTTCCTGCTAACAGAGACTCTACAGATCCTCCTTTGAGAAGAACAGAGACAACTTCAAGTACACCTGCGACAGTCCGTTCTTCCAGGCTGCCAAGTACGCCTCCACCCTCATCAACGACGTGAGTGCCCTCAGTCTGAAGCTCAATGCAATCATTATAACATCGTTATGATTACTCTGTTGTAGTTCATTTGTAAAGTAGATATTTTAATCCCACTTCTCTGTTTCTGTGCATCTCTGTTGGACTCTCAGCTTGGAGGTAAAAGATTGTGAATTCATAGTATTATTATTATCATGTTTATTGACTGAAATGTTTATTACCTGCTCTTTTTTATAGGTAACCATAATACCAAGTGTATAGAAATGTGTCTAATGTTCTTTATATCAACTTGTTTCAGCGGTGGAGGAAGTACTCAGATCCTAGAAACACCACAGTTTAAAGTACTCCATTATAATCAGTAACATGTACTTTAAATATCAAAAGTATTCTCCTTTCAAAATGTAATGTTATGATAGAATGTTTTAATATTTAGTTTTTAACACTACAAATAGACTTAATTGAGACCAGTTGTAATGAGATACTTTGTATACTACGGTAGATAAGAAGTATATGTTGGTACTGCATCAAAGTATCTATAAGTGTAGATAAATGTAGTAAAAGGAACAATATGTAGCAGAGTGGAAATATAAAGTAGCAGAAGATGTAAATACTCAGGTAACTGTACTTCACTCCAGCACTAGAAAGCCTCGTCACATGAAAGCGTTTGTCTTTAACTACCTTCTGACGTCCTGAGCAGAGATCCTACAAAGCTACTTATGAGAAAACCAAGGATAAGTTCACCATAACGAAAGACGATCCGAGATACGTTCTGGCCAGAGCCAACAACAGCATGAGCCAGGTAAACGTCACTTCCTTGCTGCGTACCAACCCGGCCCGCCTCCTCCGCTGCAAGTCCGGTCCTGCAGACCTCCAGCACCGGTGCATGAGGTCGTCGCATGATAGAGCTTCCAATGCGACATGTTTCTCTCTTTGTGGGTCCGTCTGTTTTCTTTTAGGTCGTAAAGCGGCGCCACTCAAAGAGCAGCCGGACGGCTTTGTTGAGTGAGCAGGACTCTCCTTTATCTGTGCCATCGGAGAGAGACGGATTAATCCAGGGGTGCCCGAACCTTTTTCCTTTTAAAGGCCAAATCTGACACTTAATGTTGGGCCACAAGACAAAAGCAAACACAGATTGTATTATATTATATTGTTAAGATGCCAAATGGTACGAGGATCCTTTGGTCCTTTAATTTATTTCCATGTGCCGCTGCCTCTCCATTTTGTTCTCACTTCTTTGGCAGCAAACTGACTTCCAACAGTTGATAATTAGGAGTTCTACATCTTTTACTCACAAAACATAAACAACAATGTTTTGGATAATGATTATAATTTTTTCTAGAAACATCTGGCAGGCCAAATAGAACTTAATATTCACTCTTTCATTTGTTCATCCAGCTTACGAATATATAGATTTCTGTCCCTCTGAAGGCACAGATGAGGACAAACAGCTCCTCCGTCACACTTGGATCTCCGGAGCACTGCTCCAGTCCTCCCAGTGTTCCTGCTGTTATCTTCACGTGTCCTCAACTTTGGCATGCTTTGTGTGTGTGTGAACAGGCAAGGTATAAATCCAGAGCAAAGGATCTGCTAAAGAGCGGTTGCAATGAGCTTCAGCGCACTGACATCCTCGCAGCCCTTTACCAGTCCACTCTGAGCAGTAAGGTAAACGGACACAGAGCAGTGACCCGTGGTGACGAGCAGAACGTGATCCCTGTGTCACCAGCTCACTTTGTTCCTCTCTCTGCTCATCCTCTCGTAGAAACTACTTCCCTCCATTCAAACACTTTAACTTCCACACATTCCACCATTCTCTTCATGCAGTAATCCGTCCATCACCTGTCCTCTCCTCTTCATGTCTCGTTGATTATTGAACCTTTAAGGACTTTACCGAATGTTTTTGGACATACGAAGCTGATAAAAAATACATATTTTGTTATTGTCGGTATTGACTGAAGGCTAAAAAGGCTAAAATCCACCAAATATGGATTGAAGCAGAATAATTCGTTAGATAAAAACATGAGTTTAGAAAATGATTACATCTGTCTTTAAATAACTTCTGTCTCTCAGACTTAATGTAACTCTCTGTAGTTATTGGAAATGTTTGGAAACAATCCTACGTCGCCACCACTGGAATCTAATTCAACAAATCTATTGTCATACGAATAACATCAGTGAAGCCTGATCTTTATCTGACACTGAGCACAAGGGTAGTATCTGTGCACCAGCAGACGGAGGCAGCATTACAGACTCTGTAGAGACAGAAGATATTATGTATCTATACATTAGTCACCTGTTATACAGTTACTCACATTTGGTTCAGCAGTTTTATTCCCATAAGGTGTTTTTATGACCTTTTTCTATTGAGATTCCGGCAACAATTACATTTACTTCCAGGTCCAAATAAATACAAATCCTTTTTTTTAATAGTTTATAAAACAAGCTGAACAAAACACGACTCTAAATGAGCAGGAGTCACAACTTTACAAACACCACGCTAACGTATTTACATACGTTTTACATGACCAGGTTAAGCTGTAGTCACTGCTGGTGTCGTTGAGTAGGGAGAACAAAGTCTAGTCCAGAGGGGTCCACCGGGACCCAGACCGGTTCTCATATCCTGATTAATCCCTCGACATCTTTTCCAGAAGGAATATTCTCAGTTCCACCTTCTACCAATCGTCCAGTGCAGAGATGTCCAGAGTTTAAGAAGAGTGTTTATTGCTGCAATTCATAGTATTCCAACCAATATAGCGTCGCGGTTGTTCTTTTGCAAAGTCAAACTTTAGCTGCCAAAAGACTCTGAGGAGGTGATAGCTCCAAGTCAAACATGCATATGTGCCAATTTGAATTTGCCTCGTCTGTATTGAAGCCTCAGATTCAGGGAGCTGTTGCATGAGAGGAGCTCCGTGGACTCTGCAGACGGTCACGACTGAATAGTGGTAACACGTGTCCTCGTCTTCATCTTCATCTTGGAGAGGAAAATCCCTCTACATGTTCCCTTCTGCATGTTCCATAAAGCATGTTTTCATAAACTTGTGCACGTCACCACTTCACTCATTAAACATACTGTATAAGTCTTTAAGTCTGATTTAATCTTATTGAGCTGGAGAACTATCCAAGAAAAACAAAAGAGTCTGTTTTTACTCTTTAGTGTTATTATGTAACAACAGAAACTTCTTCATCTGAGTTGACTCGGAGGAGGACATGATTTAAATGTGACTTCTTGTCCGTCACCGTCTGTCATCGACGTCTCTTTCACCTTTTTCGTGGATAGTTTTCTGTCTTTACTTTAACACGTTGTCAGAATACACATAAATGATTACAGCGGTGAATGGATTGTCTGAGCGTCATTAACTTTCTGGTGTTTGCACGTCATCGTCCTCCATCAGTGGAGGTACAGGGAGCAGTACGAACGGGCCAAGGACAAGTTCACCTCGATTCTGGAGACTCCCTATTACGAGGCCCACAAACGCAGCAAGAAAATCACAGATGTGAGTTTTTGAATCTGTTTCAGAGGGTTGAATGTTTCTATCAGACAGAAAAGTGCTTCATTATGTCATTATGTTTGGTGTCTTTTGAATCTTTTCCTGAATGTGTGATGACGATTATTCCTCAGATCATCTACAAGATGGAGTACAACAAGACCAAGGCGAAGGGTTACACCTTACCTTTTGACACTCCACACCAGCAGCACATGAAGAGGGTCAAGGATATCACCAGCAATGTAGGTCACGCTCACACTTGCTGCACATGGTTATGAAATATGAAACACGTGTGTTTGTGTTTGATGGTGTTTTATTTTCATGCATCTTGCAGCTGAAGTACAGAGAAGTTTATGAGAAGAGCAAAGCCCAGATCAACATCGACCCCGAGGCTCGTTCCATCCGTGCCGCCAAGGAGGCCTACAAGAAGAACAGCAATGTGAGCGTCTTCAGTGATTCAGCCAGCAGTCATTCAAACTCAACACACCTGAGAATATTCATTCAATGTTGTTGTTGTTTTTTAGCTTACCTACAAGAAGAAGTACGAAGCGACCAAGGCCAAGTGGATCTGGACGGCAGACAGACCCGACTTTCTCAATGCTGCCAAGAACTCCCTGCAGCAGAGTGATGTGAGATGATGCTTCTTCTTCTTCTTCTGGTTTTTCATTCCAACAACATCCAACAGTGTTGTTTTAAAAGAAGCAATAGCAAGATCAGCATTTCATCACCTTGAACACAAAGTCAGGGACCGAACGATGAAACAAGACTTGGAGAAACTGATTCGTGCTTTTATCTCCGGCAAAATGAATTCCTGCAAAGGACCCCGAAATACATCCACGAGGCTCCTTTGACACAATTCATTTTAAAGTCTCGTTACGTATCTATAAATCTCTTCATGTATCTGGACTGCTAGTAGTGCTCAGAGCAAAGTCTTAACATAACCCTATATATATATAAATATATATTTGCTTTGATCTATTTCTAAATAAATCATCTCTTTTCTTTTGCCTGTTTAAACTGTATCCTCCCTGTTTTATGAGACATGATGAATGATATTTCTGCTCACGTCGTTTCACCGACAGGTTGAGTACAAGTATGACAAAGAGAGCATGAAGGGCTGTGTGATCCCCGTCGTGGACGACAGGTTGACCCTCCATAATATGAAGAACACAGACATGGCCAGCGAGGTGAGTTTCTCCACGTCTTCTAAGATAAACATGTCATTACCTCAACTGTCTTCATAATTGAATGTTGATACTTGTTGACACTGTCTGCTGCTGCTCTCCAGCTGAAGTACAGAGAGAAGTACGAGAAGGCAAAGGGCCACTACATCGCCGTTGATGACACTCCTCAGATCCTGCATGCCAAGGCTGTGCGCTCTCTGGCGTCAGAGGTACGTCTCCTTCAGTCAAAAGGCAGCCAGTTATCATTTATGTTCAGAATAAGACATGTTATGACTTTAACTCTACATGTGTTGTGATGAATTTTCATCCTCAGAGCAAATACAAGGCGGCCAATAAGAAGAGCATGCAGTCCGGCTCGTTCACCACCCTGTCGGAGACTCGTGACACTGTTCACAGCAAGGAGATCAGCAAGCTCATCAGCAAGGTACAAAGACTCCCCTTCATCTGGCTGACAGGAGCTCAGCCGTCTCGTAGTCCTGGACTTGTTTGGTGCGGCTGTCCCTGACGTTCCTCTTTTACTTCTTTACAGAAATTGTACAAAGCGAAGTTTGAGAAGGAGAAGGGCAAGTCCATTTATAACAACATGATTGCTCCACCTGATGTTCGGCACGCCATGGGAGTGGCCAAGAGTCAGAGCAACGTGAGTCGTCTCCTCATCCTCAAATATGATTTATTTCCTTTACAGCACACACTCTCAGCGTTGGGATAGTGTTTTTGGTGCATATTGTATTCTGCTTCTCTGCACAACCTCTACAGATCGCCTACAAGAAAGATGCCAAAGCCAACCTCCACTACACGAGTGTGGCCGACCGCCCCGACATCAAGAAGGCTACTCAGGCTGCCAAGCTCATCAGTGAGGTAATCACAGAGTTCATGAGTAAAAGCTGCACACACACACACAGGCAGCAATGTGCAGAATCTCAGTGTGCACAAGCCTGATTCTTCCCACAGTTAGCCATGAACACATGAACCGATGTTTGCATATAAAAACAATATCACAGACCATCATGTTCATCTATTTGTAGGGAGCCAAAATCGTGATTGCAAATTAGTTTTTGATTCGTTGTGCAGCCCTGCACACAAACAGACGAAACGACAGGAAACAGTCTCCCCTGCTGTCTGTTTCACGGTCCACTGATTCTTGTTCTGGTCTCGTCTCCGAACAGATCGGTTACCGTGAGAAGGCCCGTGAGGAGGCGAGCCACGGAGGTTCTCTGGTCCACCGCCCAGACATCACTCTGGCCACTGAGGTGTCCAAGCTGACCAGCCAGGTACGCCAAAACCCGAAATCAACCAGGCGAGACATGCTGCTCCTCCACTACCGTTATCATCTCCTAGAACCGTCCCCTTTTATCATACACGACGACCGGAATCAGTCACCTGCAAAGGTCTTCTGTGTGGGCGTCATGGTCAGACCAGCATTGCTGTGGTAGATACTTAACAGCAGTCCTGTAGGCAGTGTGCAAAATACCCTGTGACAATCGGGGGGGGTTCCGTCTCCCCCGATTGCTCACCCCCCCACACACACAACGCAACAACCTCGCTCTACAGCAGAATACGAATACTCCTCTCTCGCTAACCCGACACTCAGACCTTCGGCTTCTTCTAGTTGCCGTCCTGGTGTCGAAGAAGAGGAGAGACGACGTCCTGCTTTAATCCAGGTTCTCACTGAAAGGCGCTGGATCAGATTTCTCCAAAGAGTCGTTTAGGTCCACAAACAGACGTGGAGACGGGCTCGCTTCACGCAACCTCTGTCATTTATGTTGTCTCTCGCAAACACTCAAAATGTTCTGCAGTTGCATTAGTACGCTTTTAAAAGAGATTTTAGTGACAATTGCAAGTGACAAATAATCGTCTTGTGACTTTAGAGACCGCTGAACATCTGCTCTGGTGTTTCACACACTGCCTGGAGGCCTAACGATAAGACTAGCAGCTCTTCTGTCGCTCTTCCTCTTCCCTCCTGCATTATCTTCCTCGTCTCAATCTGTCTTCGTGACTCCATGAAAGTAGATTTCCGTGTTTTAACTGCTCATTATCATTGTCTCCATCCTTAAACCTGTCCTCTTCCTCCGTCCTCCTGTCCTCTCCTCGTCTCTCTGTCCTCTTCCATGATGTCCCTGTCTGTGTGTTTTCATCCCTTCATCTCGCTGCGCTTTGTAGGTGGAGGCCAAGCCCTCCCTCCATGGAGTCGCTTCCTATGATACCCCCCAGATGCGCCACATTAAGAAAATGAGTGCCGTGACTAGTGATGTAAGGAGGTTCACGCCTCGACGGTCCATCTGCTCCGTCTTTCTGTCCACTTCTCGTCCATCTGTTGACTGACTGATTTTACTTGCAGTTTAGCATTGTGTGCACCCTCCGCTCTTTGGTTTCCTGACAGACTGTGGCTCATTGTTGCATTTGTTGAGCCATGTTGAGTCATATTAAAGGATCATTGACTCTAATTATGCAACAACGAAACGCAGCTGTAGCCCATTTGCAACACAAGAAGAACATGACAAACACATGGAGAGAAAGACAGCGGTACATTCCTGTGTGCCGAGCAGCATGCCGCATTACCACAACGTCCCGGGTTCCATTCCAGCATCGTGAACTGTGTTGCACGTCAGAACTGTCTCACTCCGCTCACTTCCTGTCTCTGTCTCTCTACACAAGAAAACATATGTGTATCCGGTAGTGGACTTTGTGGAGCTTCTTCAGTGCAGACCTTCTGGAACGTCGGTACAAATTTAAATGAACAGATTCATTTAATATTGCTGCTGGATTTACACTTGTTTTTCTAAGTCTTGTTTAATGTTTAAGGATTTCTCTTTTGTCTTTTTGTCCAGGCTCCCTCAAGTCCACAGTCATACCATCATATATATATATATATATATATATATATATATATATATATACTGATGCATGAGAAGATTTATAGGAGACACAGTTTGACTACAGTTGTTTTTTCTTGTATAACTAGGGATGCAAACTTCATTTATTTGAGTCTTAATATTTAAAGTCATACATTATGCAACATTTCTAAAACATGTAAACCAAACTCTCCCTTTTTATGCACTCAAAAAGAAGCGTTTTGTTGTTCTCTAAATGTTTCCCGTTGGGTGGAGTCTGTACACTAACTCTCACACATATCCACCCCAATAGCTGAAGTACAAGGAGAAGTTTGACAAGGAGATGAAGGGAAGGAGACCACAATACGACCTGAAGAACAGTAAGATTTACCAGACGTTAAAGGATGCCAATGTGTTGGCTAGTGAGGTAAGTAATCAACCCTTTGAGACGTGAAACCAATCGAGTAGCAAGACTTTGATTACAAATCTCTCATAAAAATGTCAGGAAATGACTGAATATCAAAGATTGTGAGACGTGTTCATTGATAAATGTGTCCGTGCAGGTGAAGTACAAGCTGGACCTGAAGAAGCTGCACAAGCCGGTGACCGACATGGCCGAGTCTCTGTCCATGCAGCACAACCTGAGCACCAGCAAACTGTCCAGCACCGTAAGACGCCGCGCTGCCTTTAACGCGCTCACAGGGAGCTGCTGGGAGTCAGACTCATGTGTCTGAACTCAGTGTTTCCGTCACCACTTTCACAATCGTTGACCACCTCATGGGTTCATCTGCATCTATCATCCACACACATCCATGACTCTGTGACCTCATCTGGTAGTGATCCTCACCCTCCTGACCTCTGACCCTCTCATACCATCACCTCCTGTAACCTCCGCTCCTGTTGATCTATCTCCTCCTGTAGTTCGTTAATGATCACTTAACACAAAACTCCTCCTCCATTGATTCTACATCATTTTTCATACAATTTTTAACCACCATTTGTAATTTCCGCTTATTGTTTTGACAGCATGTCGTAGTTTTTGACATTGCTGAGAGATGTTTTCTACAAAGTGTTTTAGGGCCATTGTAGGTAAAGATAGATAAATTACAGATCCGGGAGAGGGGGGGGGATATTCTGAGAACAAACTCAGATTTTCCAAACTTAAAATTATACATTTTTGAGAAAAACACTTGAATATTCTCTTTAGGTTTACGAGACAAACCTTAATGTTTTTATGCAGGTTTTCTTCTGAGTTTACCCGATTGATGGTAATGTGTTTTCAAAGTCCCGCTGCTGATCATATAGTGTGACTCTGGTCTAAAATCACTCTTATTTCCTTATTGATGAATTAGATTTTATAGTATATTTTGATGAGGTCATCAGGAACAACACACGCCGTTGTCTGTGGTGTGATGAGGTTTATTCAACCTCACAAAGTGAAGCCACATGCTTCAAAAACAAGAAACTTGCCGATTTAATCTCAGAATTTCAGAGTTTTTTCTCGCAAATTTATGATTTAATATTCTCAGAAAATATTGAATTTTTTCAGTTATTTTGTGAGTTTTTTCTCATAAATATTCGACCAAAATCTGAAGTTTTTTACTCTGAATATTACCCCCCTGCCTCGGCTCTGTAATAATATTTATTTTACCTACAATGGCCCTGATACGCAGACGTAGTTTTCACAAATATAATGTTACTATTTGTGTTTCTGTCATAATGAGACTTCTTTAGTACTTGTAATGATGGGAGTAAACTCCAGAGAGTCTTTGTTCTGAGCTGTCTGACTTTACTGGAATCCCCCCGTAGTACTGCTACAAGAAGAAGTTTGAGGAGAGTAAGGGTCACTACCACATGATCGCTGACTCACCAGAACAGCTCCATCACAAGGAGGCCACTGAACTCCAGAGCAGCGTAAGTGGAACCGGCTGAGGAACCGGCTACTCTCTGCTCAAACAGATGATGTGATTCATGAATCTTCATCCGCTGCTCGTACAGGAGGCTGCTGTTGAAATGTCATTAACAGTAACGCACCTTTGGAACGTAAATTAGCTTTAAGCTAACTCTTTTTCAGAGTTAAGAGTTTACTTTATAAACTTTTTAAATATTGATTTAATCTTAAATACACAGCATTAGGTGTTTTGCATGTATTCAAACTATGCAGACTGTTGCTGTAACTGTATTCCTATTTTGCAGTTGATGTTGTGTTTTAGAGTTTATGAAGTATTTTTACTACCTTCTAAGCAGCTACTAGTTTCCATTCATGCCCATAGAACACAAGTTACATCATTATATTATTAAGAGTTGTGTAATCCATCGTGTGTGTGTGTGTGTGTGTGTCTGTCTGTCTGTCTGTCTGTCTGTCTGTCTGTCTGTCTGTCTGTCTGTCTGTCTGTCTGTCTGTCTGTCTGTGTGTGTGTGTGTGTGTGTGTGTGTGTGTGTGTGTGTGTGTGTGTGTCTGTGTGTGTGTGTGTCTGTGTGTGTGTGTGTGTGTGTGTGTGTGTGTGTGTGTGTGCTGTGCAGGTGAAATACAAGGAGAAGTATGAGAAGGAGAAGGGAAAGGCCATGCTGGACTTTGAGACGCCCACATATGTGACGAATAAGGAGGCGCAGCACATGCAGAGTCAGGTAACTCACCCCGTCCGCCTCCTCTCTGAGCTTCAGAAACACAAAGCACTTCATCACAAGCCTCTGTGGGTCTGAGCTCCTGTGAAGAACATTATATATATATCTATGTGCTTCAGCTTGTTGGATGTCCAGCTATTCTTATTTTACAATGCCTTTAATGCCAGTTTATAAAATCAAGACAATGTGGATGACAGTACATTGGGTATCAGCTTTCCCATTTCCAAATCTTGCATTAAACTGGGAGGAGGCAGTGTAAAATGTAAAATGTGTTGTGAACGCCGTGTGTATCGCTGTTCTGACTCTATAATATACTGTGTATATTATGCTGCTTGATCTTACTCCCACGGGGCAGAGATGGCAAAGCTGAAGTGTATATTTGTCTCAGTCTGTTGAACCTTCGTATGGCTCCAGTGTTTGACGATAATGAGCTTAAACATTTATCCAGATTGTTCTTATTCTGGTGGCAAACTCCAGACTTTTGTCTCAATAAATACCCCACACATGCACAACTACGTCACATTTAACGACTGGAAACACGGCGTCACCACAAGGACAATGGATATGAACTGGGTACGGGTAACAGCTGCTTTGCTCGCATGTTATTTGAGTTCTGTCTTTGTCTTTTCCGGCCTATAGAAAGACTATAAGAAGGACTTTGAGGAGCACATGAGGGGCAAGAACCTCTCAGGGTTGGAGGTCACCCCCGCCATGATACATGTCAGACACGCCACCAAAATAGCCAGTGAGGTAACTAAGTGGACGATTCATCCCTGAGAACCTCCCCTCTCTACCTCGCCCGTTCCTTATAATCATACTAAGACCACATCACAACCTCGGTCCTTCTTCCCTTTCACCTCCTTATTTATTTAATCTCACACGTACTTCCTTCTTTCTTGATGGTTTCAGTTTGTTTGCATGATTCTCTTCCCATCCCTAAACTCTTGATGAGAGTCCATCTCTCTTCTCTCCCTAGTTTAGTATTGTTTGTTTGTTTGTATTTATATCTCTGCCTGTTCCCACGTTGGACTCCTAATTTCCCCATCAGAAGACGACTAACAGCTTCATGTTAACAGAATAAAGTCTGCATGCAGTCATGTGAGTTGCAAAATGTGAAATGTTGACTTGAATTGTGATGATGTTGTTTTTGTTTCCTCGTATCTGATCAAATGTGGTTCACATTGTGGTTTATCAGGAGTCTTTGCCGAAGTCACCGATGCCTCCGGTCTCTGATTTGATTGTAATATTCACTGTTTTATAATCAGTAGGCGATTATGGGTGAATCCCAAGTCTCTTATTTGATAGTTCCTGTTGTTCCCGTTGAAGTTGTTCTGCTCCGACATCTCAAAGGACGTTTGAACTTGCACAAACCTCAGTCACGGAGGCTAACCAGGGGGATGCATTGTGTTCATGTTGCCCTCTCATCCCTCCTCTGAATCGCCTACTGTTTAGAGTGATATAATGGACCTGAACTCTGAATCTATCAGTGCTTCAGGGTCTCTGGAGTCTTTGGTGACTTTGAGCTCAGAGTGGGACAAGCGTTGTATCTCGTCCCTTTGTGCCGTCTGTCTGTATGCCTCGGCCTGGTCTGCCTTGTGTTCCCTTTGTCCGAGTCTCTCTGTTCTTCTTCCATCCTGTAGAAAGAGTACAGGAGGGATCTAGAGGAGGGAGTGAAGGGTAAAGGGCTAACTTTACCGGAGGAAACTCCGGAGCGTTTGAGAGCAAGGAATGCCACTCAAATCCTGTGTGAGGTACGACTGACTGAGAGCCGATGAGAACGGCATCGCGCTCTCAACCCGAGTGCCTTTCCTCACAATCATCCGCTGAGTTCTCCCCTTTAACTGAGCTTAATCATCCCTCTGACTTTCATCCTCGCTTCATAACATCACTAATATTCCAGCATCCTCCTCCTGTGATTTCTAGAATTTGATGTTCCCACGATTCTCTCTGATACTTTTATGTCTGATAAATATTCCAAAAGTTCACCTTAAATGTACTCAAAGCATATTTAGTTGCAGTTCTTTATATTTATATTATAGCACATGTCGGCATGCAACCACAGCCAGCCTGTAATTCAGACGCAAGAAGAAAAAAAGCTTAATGCTCAAGATGGCTTTAAAGATTTACTTTGACTTGAATTCATTTTAATTTATTGATTTCTTTGTGGAGATATGCTCTGCATGCTGTTAAAGGTTGCTTTTTGTAGTGCATGATAGATAGAGCACTGTAGATAAACTGAGATAATAGAAAATAAAGTGTTTTTAAAAGATGTATGCTTTAACACACTTCCTTTAACTACTGCTGTTTTATTTTCCAGCTTTGGGTGGAGCTTCACACACACTCTGCTGTCCTTTAAAACCCTCCTAATCTCTTCTAACTCTTCTTTAGTCACCATTCCCTTGACCTTTTTGGTTTTGCAGCCCCGCTCTTAATCACACTAGTAGTCAGCTTTGAACAAACGGAGCTTTTACGTAACACGAGTCACCTGTGGTGTTTGCAGAGAGAGTACAGGAAGTCGCTGGAGCTGGAGATCAAGGGAAGAGGAATGTTGGCTTTGGCTACAGACACTCCAGACTTCATGAGGGCGAGGAACGCTACCGACATCCTCTGTCAGGTCTGACTCACTTCCTATTTTCATGTCGTGGGCAATGTTGTAGATATATATATATATGTTGTTGATGTAGTTAACAGGGCGGGGCTTAAGTCCTGGGCCCTGAGGACCAGGGGCCTCACAAGACATGACTTTATAATATACTATAATATTATAAATTATAATATTTACTTCAACGTCACCATGAACAATATTGGGCCAGGAAAATGCATAACTATGATAATCCCTACCAAACGATAGAAAAATGGAAAATAATGGGTTTTTATTGGGCGGGACCTGACAAATCAAAATGAATAGTTTAATATTATGTAGGTTTATATGTTAAAAGACTAGCTTGAAATTATATGCTTATTTACAGTATATTTTAAAGTTCAGTCCGAATGGATTAATTGTGATTAATAGTGCAGCCTTTTATCTATAAGAATGTCAAAAAATAGGTTTCTAAACCTGCGATGTGGCAGTTTCATGATCAGCACCATGGACAGCTCTACACACCAAACAAGCACGACTACAACAATTCCAGAAAACAATGTACACTAAAAGAATATGAATAATATGATTGTGGCAGGAAAAAACACTCCTGAAAGTGAGGCAGTGATATATAATATTATTACCGATTCTTTGTTTGAGATGTTTGTGATCTTCTCGTGTTGCCGCTGTGCACACATGACTCAAACCTGACTCACATTCTGTTTACTGATCAAGAGGGCTCATCAGTAGCATCCCCTGCTTTATGGTCTATTAGAGACCTGTCAATCACCGTGT